TTCTTTGATATTGTTCTTTTACAAAGTTAAAGTTTGAGACTAATCTTTTTTGAAAGTATTCATTAATGAAATTGTATTCATAAATTTATTCAAAAAGGAAATTAGAATTGTTATTCTTTATCAAATCGCGAAAACGTTATATTATGTATATTATCAATATTATATAAAACAAGTGTAGCGCGTCTCATCCTTAAGTTGCGTCACATGAACGACAAAAAAATATCAACGCCACAATTCCTTATTTATATTATTCTCTATGATTTCTGCGCCTCTATCATCCTTCTATATAATCTTTATTCTTTATAAATCTTTGGTTTATAATAAAAAAAAAAATTTTTTTTTTTTCAAACATTTAATAATAAAGTTATTATCACATTCTAGAATAACGGAGTTTAATCTCCAGAAATTACATAAAATATTTCACCATTTTAAAAATGTTTATATGAATTATGCATATAAAGTTATCTTCTAAATAAATATTCATATATTCGGTTATTTTGATTCCGAATTTTAATTTATAATGAATGAATGAATAAATGAATACAATTATAATATATCTAATATATTATATATATTTTTTTTATACTGTATTTTTTTCACGCGTATACAGCTTGTCAAATTTAGAATAATATGATCATAAACACTGATGGAGGATCTATTAAAAAAATTTCTTGGCATTTTGATCCTGTCTAATCAAATAAAGTTTAGTTCCCCTTTTTTTTTTATTTGAGAAATTTCTTAAAAGAAACCCTGTTTTAGTGATATAAAAAAATTTTTAAAATTGCTTCATTTATTAAAGCTTAATGTAATAATTATTTACATTCATTTAGTTGGTGATTTCGGAGAACTTTCGGAATTATGTCGTTTGAAAAAAAAAAATTGTAAATCGCGTTACAAAATTGGAAAGTTTAATGTGGAATCACCAAAATCATTAAAATCATGATCATTTATTTTATTATGAAACAATCAATTTAGGTAAACCATTTTGTGATACTTTTAAAACGCGTTAGTATCTGATTTTTTTTGATTTTCGAAAATTTCCCAGTATTAATTTTGGTCCATTCCACATATAATTATTGAGAATACTTCCGAACTATCAACATTATTAGTGTCAGTTACTTGACCGAATTTCAAAAATATTAAATATTATTATTGTAGTTGTACTACCTGTACGATATAAACATTTCACGTCATTTATATAATGTTAAATGTATTTGTATTATTTTTGAAATGTTCATAATGTTACACATATTATAATATTGTATTTTCATATCATATTAATATAACCACAATTTTAAATATAAATTAACTTTATTGCAAAAAATTGAACTATATATAAAATATATTAATATTATATATTCTATGTACCAATATTATATGTCTATATCAATAAATTTTCCATATCCCATTTCACAATTAATAATTTTACCATTATATATAGTTTTTATGATATAACAAATACTGATTGTAGACTTACAACGGTTACATTATGGGTTACACTGATTTTAATTCAGATCAGCACTATACATAATATAAAGGAAATTTTAATATAGTATAACCTTTAAAGAATTAGATATTTGAAAATTGCATAATGCTAGTAAGAATTGCTGCATTATAATTTATATTTTAATATACTAATATATTTTTTTCAAAATAATAAATATTATAATTGCTAAATAATAAAAATTATACAGTATAATAATAAATAAATTTTTTGTTTTTAATTTTTTTTTTTATAATTAATTAGCTTTATCTTTATTTATTTTTTAAAATATTTCTTCTTACAGAAAGCAGTAAATTTTTATTAAAATATCTAGAAAATAAATACAATATATTTAATAAGTATTTAAAAAGAAAATATACTACAAAAAAATTGGTAAAAATAGAATTCAAATATCTAATATACAACTTGCTTATAATGTTTTTCTGGAGATGAAGAAATTTTTTTTTTAAAAAAAAAAAAAAAATTATGCAAAAAACAATATAAAAAAAAAAAGATTGATAATTAATAATTGGCAATTACTCTACGAATTGGTTCAAAAATATTATTTTGAGACATATCAGTGATATCACCATATGCTAATTTTTTATAATGGGGATCAAAAAAGGCTGAAATATGTAATGCCTCACTTATTTCATTAAAATAATTTGTAAAAACATGGTTCATTTCATCTACTTGGTCTTGTAAAATAAAATTTTCACCTCGAGATTGATTTAAATGCATTCTAATACCTTCAAAAAGTAATTTAACTTCACCAATAGTTGGATAACTAGAAGCAGATTATACATGCTGCCCAAATTATTTTGGGATGCCATAATTCATTCAGTTTATATATAATTTACTATGTAAAGTGCCAAAATAATTTGGGATGCCATAATTGAATTTGGGATTTTACTTATAATTACGGCAGTCCAAAATAATTTGGGTGGCATGTATAAAGCAGATATCACTCTTATTACTGATGCAAAAGGAGCCAATAAGTCTGCTAAAATAGTAAGTATATTCCATTCTTCTTCATTTGGCCAATTATTTGATAATGATGTAAGATTTGATACTAAATAAGCCAAAAGAGGTTTAATTTCTAATGCTCGATCTATCATATAGAATGTATAGTTTCATCTTATAGTACAATCTAGAAGTAGTACTTTAAATTTAATTTTTTCAACTTGAAAAAACTCCTTTAACTTATCCATTTGTTTAGGTGAATTTTTTACTGTACTAATAAATATACGCAACTTTTTGGCACAATTAGGAACTATATTTGTATTAAATTAAGGTTGTTTGCCAAAACCTAGGGGTTTAGGCAAGATGGCGTTTTGCCAAAAAGCGAAATTCTGCCAAAACTATGTTAAAGTTATATTAAAAAACTGGCAAAACTTTGGAGAAAGGTGAAACTGCCGAAACTCATTATAAATGCCGAAACTGCCAAAACTCTGCCGAAACTATAATAAATCTATCTATAGTAAAATTTTAACGAAACTAATCGTAGGATTTTGAAGAGGTTTAGACAAGCAACCTTATATTAAATGCTGCTTCAACAGCAAGGTTTAAAATATGTGCTGCACAGCGATAGTGGCGAAATTCTGATAAATTAAGATCTTCTTTAATCAGTCAAGTCAGAACTAACATCTTTGCTTCATTGTCACTAGTAATTCCAATTAATCGATCTGCAATATTTAATTCTGAAACAATTTTGATAATAGAATCTTTAATTGCTAAAGCTGTGTATGATAAAGGAATATACAATACATCTGATACAAAGTGATCAAACTGCCAATTATCTTTTATAAAATGAATTGTTACTGCCAAAATACCTAATGAACTAATTGTTATCCACATATCCATTGTTAACGAAATTTTGGAAGTTGAAAGTTGAATGTAGTTTTTTATTTGAATTTGTGCATTTTCAAACTTTTTCATTATCATATCTTTTATTGTGTGTTGAGATGGAATTTTGTATTTTGGTTGAATAGATGCTATAAATTTTTTAAAACTTTGATTTTCAACAATGGTAAATGATTGCTAGTCTGTGATAATCCAATTAACAAAAAGATTATGCTTTTCTTGTTGTATATCAACTGTCCAGGGTTTTACATTAGATTTAACTTGACCTAAGTCTTTATATACTACTGGTCGAATGATGAGGTATCGAGTTGTGACATATCAGATAAAATCAGAAAAATATCATAAACCGATATGCCACTAGCAGATCATTTTAAAAATTGAACATATATTAGTAACCGATAGGCCAGTGATATTCACATGATTATAAATAATTTTTTTAAACTCATATCAATAAGTTATCTGGTTCTTATTGGATATCTGATAAATTATTGATTTTTATATGATAATAATATAATATTTATATGATATTTATATTATTGTACAAATAATTTTTTAAGATAATCGTATTTGAAGTGTTAAAATTTTAGAGTTTTGCCATAGTTTTAGCATTCCAATCTTTTTACTGTATAATAATTTTTTTAATTTCAAACGGTTACCAATAAATCTATATGTAGTTGAAATTTATTGTAAAATTATTTATTGTAATATTTTTATTTTATTGTATGTAATAAACTGATTTTTTATTGATAAAGGACTTAATCAATGATATACGTTAAAGTTCACATCCCAAAGTAAAAAAAGAAATATTAATACATTCATTTCTTTAAAGCAATTAAGTAAAACTCCCACCCATACTATCTTCAAGTCTGGGTTCAACCAAGAATGTTTGGTAGACTAAAGAAAAAAAATTAGAGTAAATGTTAGTAATATATAATATATTAATAAAAAAAAACCTTCCCTTCAGTTCCCTCTAACTTACATACTTAAAATTCAAGTTCAGGTTCACCCAAGAAGTCCAAGGAATATAAATATATTTTTTATTCCTATGCGTCCATCCCATTCACCTGTCTGGTTCACATCCCTACAAAAGACAAGAAATCTAAGAAGCTCAGCATCCTAAAAAATTAGAAAAAGAAACATTAGTATTGTTTCTTTAATGAATTGAGCTTTATTTTTACATGCACATATAACACTCACTTTATTTACTTGTACAGTTTATTCAAGTCCAGTATTTGACATCTTACAAAAAGAAGAAATCCAAAAAGTTGTCCTATAAAAAAAAATATTCTGATGTCCTACAAAAAAAAAGAAGTACAGGTAAATAATTTTTTTTAAAAAAAAGATTATCAACGATCAGTAAATTAATTAGGAACTGATCGGAAATATGTATATCATATAATATACTATGCTGATATTAAATTTAGTATTTTCTATATAATAATGATCGGCTTATAATAATAATAAACTAACTTTATTTCCAGTAACTTCAGAAATTTTTTTTTATGGAGTGATGGAGTCACATGCATACTCCTTCCCTCTTTTTTTTTAGGTTCAGACCAGTAAGTTAAATATATGTATATATATATATTAATAAATAGAACCTTTTCTTTATTCTTTTTTTATAACTTCCGGAGTGCTTCTGGTCCTCTTTTAAATGCCATTCAGACTGGTAAGTTTTAAAATTTTTTTTTTAAATAGAAGGTGTATAGGCATACTAACCTTTTACTTTCTTCTTTTTGTAGATTCTGGACTTTTTTTATACGCTGTAAGTTTTAAAAAAATTTTTTTTTTTAAATAGAAGGTGTATAGGCATATACTAACCTTCTACTTTTTCTTTTTGTAGGTTCCAGACCTTTTTTGAACGCCATTCAGACCGGTAAGTTTAAAAAATTTTTTTTTTAAATAGAAGGCGTATAGGTGCTACTAACCTTCTACTTTCTTCTTTTATAGGTTCTAGACCTTCTTTAGACATCATTTCAGACTGTAAGTTTAAAAAATTTTTTTTTTAAATAGAAGGCGTATAGGTGCTACTAACCTTCTACTTTCTTCTTTTATAGGTTCTAGACCTTCTTTAGACATCATTTCAGACTGTAAATTTAAAAAATTTTTTTTTTAAATAGAAGGCGTATAGGTGCTACTAACCTTCTACTTTCTTCTTTTATAGGTTCTAGACCTTCTTTAGACATCATTTCAGACTGTAAATTTAAAAAATTTTTTTTTTAAATAGAAGGCGTATAGGCGTATACTAACCTTCTTTCTTATTTTTTTTTGTAGGTTCTGGACCTTTTTTAGATGCCATTTGGACTGTAAGTTAAATAAAAAATTATTTTATTTAAATAGAAGGCGTATAGATGTATACTAACCTTCTTTTTTATTTTTTTTTTGTAGGTTCTGGACTTTTTTTAGATGCCATTTCAGACTGGTAAGTTAAGAAAAAATTATTTTTTTAAATAGAAGGCATATAGGTATATACTAACCTTCTTTTTTATTTTTTTTTTGTATATTCCAGACCTTTTTTAAACGCCATTTTGGACTGGTAAGTTAAGAAAAAAATTTTTTTTAAATAGAAGGCATATAAACGTATACTAACTTTCTTTCTTATTTTTTTTGCAGGTTCTGAACCTTTTTTAGACGCTATTTCGGACTGGTAAGTTAAGAAAAAATTATTTTTTTCGTATAGGCATATATAAGGGCTTTGGATAGGTGAGTTATGAAGTGAAGTTTCACTTCTTTATTTTTTTAAATTTATTTAACATTTTTTCTCTTATTTGTAGATATTGGCTTCGATTCTTTGGGTAGATAAGTTTTGAAGTTTTGTTTTTAATTTTTTTTAAAAATTTAATTAATATTTTTTTTTTTATTTGTAGATATCGGCCTTGATTCTTTGGATTGATGAGTTTTGAAATTTTACGAAACTTTATCTTTTTCTTTAAAATTAATTTAATATTTTTTTCTTTTATTTTATAAATATCAGTTTTGAATTCTTAGATGTTGGATAGGTGGATTTTGAAGTTTCGTTTTACTTTGAAACTTCAATTTTTTTAAAAAATTTAATTAATATTTTTTTCTTTTATTTGTAGATATCGGCTTTGATCCTTGGGGTATTAGATTGGTGAGTTTCAGAAGTTTTACAAAACTTTATTTTTTTTAAAAAAATTTATTAAATTATTTGTAAATATTGGCTTTAGTTTCCAGGCTTTAGATCGGGTGAGTTCCAAAACTTCAAGATATTCATCCTAGGCATGAAATTTTGGTGAGTTTTCAACAGGCTTCTTTTGAATCTTTTTAATGAAACTTAACTTACGTTTTATTTTTTTTTTTCTTTTTTTTAGGTGATTAGTTCTGGATGTATAATAAAATTTCGGTAAGTTCAAAATTATTCCCAAAACTTTAATTTCTTTAAATTAATACTAATCATCTCTTTTTCTTTTTGTAGATTTTAAATTTCAAATTTTAGACATTAAATTATACGATAGATAGGACATTAAATAGGACATTAGATTATACGATAGATAGCATTAGATAGAATATTGCAATAAATATAATAAATACAATTTATACAAATTTCAGAATAAAATTATTGATCTATCAGTATATAATACATATAATGATCATACAAGTATCATACAGGTATTATTGAGGTATATGGATACCAATATGAGTATGATATTTATGTGATATTTTCATAATATTTATAAATCGATATGTAACTTATATGTAATTTAAATATAACTATCTCTTCCATTAATCGGTACCATATCAGAATTACTAATCTGGAAATATCAGAATACGATATGTGGATTATCAGATGATTATCAGGTAACTGATTTATTACCGATATTCCATCATTCGACTAGTGTACATCAAAATGTTTAGCTTTTAAATGACGTTCAAGAGTTGTAGTAGAATTGTTTGCAGAAAAATGGCCTTCACAAATATGACATAAAATATAAGTTTCAGTTTGTTTATCATCTTTTTCAATTGTCTTTTTTTCAAAATGTTTCCAAACTCGAGCTTGTCTTAATTCTTTAGATCTAATACTAGAAGTTTCAGTTTCAGTTTCAGTAATTTCAGTTCCTCTTTCAGCCATTTCTGTTGTTATTTCACTATCTCTTTCTTCATATTCCTCATCCT